GGTAGTTACAATGTCTTTTCACACCTGTCTTTGCGCTGCGGAAGACCTTAAACATAAATCAGCAAAATTACCTCGCTTGTAGGTCAAGAAGACGAGCTTTATTAAGGAAGTCATACACTTTAATGACAGTGTCAGTCCCTCCCGTTATAAAGCGTGAATCGTCGGTGGCAAGAGAGATGCACAAAATTTCATTTGCCTCAGGCTTATCATCCGAAACGTTGTTAAAATCACATGGGATTGACGATTCATACCATTCAAAGACAAGGCTTTTAGCCTCGGCCCCCGCAAAACAATTCCACAAACGAACAAATCCGGAAGAATCTGAAGTTACAGATGATGCATTTGTCCTTACACACAGCCAATAAATGTTGATTATGTTTGGACTTGGACGCCTTGTGGACCGAAGTAAAAGCAAGAGCATTACAAGGCATTTTTTCACCGGGGGCCTTCAGCCGCAATGCAGATGCCCTGTTAGACCTCTCTTCCATAAAAAATATCTATAGCACGACAATCTACTTAGCGCACACACGTACGCGAATGATGCCACTTGACAGTGCAACCACGAAACAAGTGCGGTCTGGGGAGATTTTGATTTCAAGTGCCTCATCTTCAATAGCACTGAAAAACGAATTTACGGAAATTTTCATTACTATTGTGTCTCAAATTTCAAATTGCTTAAGAAATTTAAACCAGTGTCTGCGTCCGTCCTGTTTACTTGTTCCTCCATTAAGACATTGGCGTTATTTGCGATTGGAACCTTCGTGGTTGGCTGCTCCTCGTCAGAGTGCTCAGAAAGACTACTATGATAAGAAGAAAGGTCTGACATGTCATCGTCCGTCGCCTGCATGTTACTGCCGCTGCGCGATAATATATTATAGGTGTGGGTATTTAAAAATAGATTTCAAGGTCAACGAACCCCGTTGACTGTTGACGCCCGATTGATAGGCTCACAGTCCTATTTGCAAGACCTCGTACATATTCAGCACCCTGAATAGTTTGTGGTTTTGGCAAAGTAACTGGGGAAATATTTGATTCTTCCAGTTATTCTGACAGCTCATCTACTATCCGTGAAATTGAAGTGTCAGAAATAGATCAAATTACGCCAACTGCATGCTTTGGGGTTTCCATGCTTCTCGAGAAGCACTTTGTTCCTTACCAACACCACATCATATATTTATTTTGCGAAATTCTGTCAAATTTCCATATAATATCTATAAACAGGTCAAAAAAGTTTGTTTTTTCATCTATTTATAAATGATCTCCCACGGTACGGTGTACCCCACTGGAATTGAAAGAACATATGGAACGCGGGATTAGTCACCTCATAGTTACACACAGCAGCATATTTGCCACAGAAATGCTTCAAAGGAGTTGACCCAGTAAGGCAAGGCAATCACTCTGGTGTAAAAACTAACAATAAGACAAATATGCTGAGATATGCAGGTCTGAAGGAAAACAGATGAAATTTCGGTTAACGGAAAAATTATCATTAATGATATTCCGAATAAAAGCCCCTAAATTAGACATCGTGAACGAAGAACTCTGTGTATATGCGCTTAAACACTCTAACGACACAAATGTGCTCCTGCAAGGGTAATTGTGATTGTCAGCTACCAATCGGCAATGTGCGGCTGTATGCGGGGGATATCTAAATTTTCCCCAGTGTATGGTCTTAAAAAGGTGGAAACTACTCTTCAAACACAATTCCCTCAGTGGAAAGTGCGTTCAGGCATAATTATCCAGGGGAAGTTAATACTTCCATTGGATGTTTACATGTACACGGGAATCCCACCGTAAACACCCTCAGAATGGTGAACTCACCTGTGGTTCACTGATAATCAACGCTTAAATCAGCCGTAGCATGAAGTACCTTCTAAAGACGCAGACTGCAACCCTCAATAGCACTGGGTGGGCGACAGACGCAACGAACAAGTAAAGAGTACTTATTCTTCATGGCAACTTGAAGCTAGCAGTAACTTTCTACCGCAGAAATAGGTGGAAGATCCAGCAGCGGAAATTTAAATATTTGCTCTGCACTGATGCAGATTCCTCCACGACGGCTACAACAACGGCCATTTTGAATATGAATTTAATTTGGGAAAACGGTTCGGGGCCACCTGCTGAAGACGCAGTCTATGTCCGGCTGAAACCTTCCAAATCGCCTGGTCCAGATAGAATTCCCGCCCTAGCACTTCGTGAACTTGCTAATGAACTGTGCAAACCCTTATCCGCAATATTTCAAAAGTCATTTGAAGACGGCGAGCTACCGGAAGAATGGAAGTGCGCACTCATTACTCCGATCCATAAAGGAGGCTCAAGACTTGACTGCGGAAATTATCGTCCTGTCAGTCTTACTTGCATCGCCTGTAAAATAATGGAACGCATTATCAAAAGACACTTGATGAAATACCTGGAACAGAACAAAATATTGTGCGATGCCCAGCACGGCTTTCGTCCAGGGCGCTCCTGCCTAACGAGTGTTCTTTACTCGCACGAGAAATGGACACGAGCTACCGATAAGGGTTTTCCAGTAGATGTCATATTTTTTGACTTCAAGAAGGCCTTTGACAGTGCCCCACACAGGCTTCTTTTACAAAAGATCTGGGATGTAGGGATTCAAGGGAGAATGTTTAAGTGGATCAGGAGTTTTCTGTCCTCCAGACTACAAAGAGTCGTCGTTAGTAATTCTACCTCGGAATGGGTAAAGGTGGAAAGTGGTGTCCCACAGGGTTCTGGCTTAGGCCCAGTACTCTTCCTGATTTATGTTAATGACTGCATCAGCGAAGTGAATTGCGAGGCTCTCATGTTCGCGGATGACATAAAAATATGGAGCGAAGTCAAGTGTGATGATGACGCAGAGAAGTTGCAGTCGAACATCAACAAACTGTGTGCTTGGTCTAACAGATGGCTTTTGAAGTTTAACGTGTCCAAATGCGTGGTTTTGCACCTGAACACCGGCCGCAATGTCTCTCCCAAACACCAGTACTATATTGATGGGACGAGGTTAGAAACTGTGGAAAGACACAGAGATGTGGGTGTATGGACGGCCACAAATCTATCGCCATCAGAACACTGCAGAAAGATGGTCCAGAAGGCAACTAGTACTCTACACTGGATCAGACGTGCATTTAAAATATTTCCTCCCGAACTTTTCGAAAGACTCTTTGGTGTCTTTGTAAGACCTCATCTCGTGTATGGAATGCCAGCAGCTTCACCATGGATGAGGAAGGATATCAACTTACTCGAACAGGTGCAACGCAGAGCGACAAAGATTGTCGACGGTCTAAAGCATTTGGCTTATCAGGAGAGGCTGAATTTGCTTGGCCTATTCCCTCTCTCTTATAGACAAATAAACTGCAGTCTACTCTGGACGTTCCGGATTGTTCGCGGCCAGGGTTGCTCATTAAGAGCAGAGGACTTCTTTGAGTTCGCCCGTACAAACCAACTACGCGGCCATGCATACAAAGTCGGGAATGAGCGCACGCGTTTATACCGACGAAAATTTTCATTCAGCCAGCGGATTGTCAGACCGTGGAACTCGCTTCCAAGCGAGATGGTGACGGCTGACACAGTTTGTGTGTTTAAAAGAAAACTTGCTCGTCTAGTTTTCGACAGAAATCGGCTTTTACAGCATGACCATGCACAGCCAGTTTTGTAAAATCTGTCATATACAATCTTCCGCACTAATTTACAGTGGCCCCATGCACTACCTTATGATTACGATTGAACTGTGACCCAACCACATTTTAAATGCCTGCAATTTTATTTTATTTTTGAGTATGAATCTGCGAAAGCACTGTACATAAATAGGGTCATCAAGGGCTCTGCCTGTAACCCTTCAATATACATATACGTATACATATTTGCAAGAACGATGCATATACAGTTATTGAGCAACAGTATCTGAGGCAAAGACATTTTATTCCACATGGGCCTAGCAATTAGATCAAAAGGCTTAAGGGTGTAGATTGTTCGTTTCCAAAGGGATCAAAGCAAGCCATCTAGTGGTTGACGGTCAGCGGACAGTTTGTATCGGGCAATCCCGTCCGGTTTTGTAAGACAGGTTGTGGCATCAAATACGTCTGATTTGGGTGTAGAGCTGTGGGATTTAGGGAAGGAATTAGTGGATAGGGAAGCTGAGCACTAACAAAACTAGTTGAGTTTGTAAATGAAACCCATTTTAGGATATCCTAACGTATTCCAGCAGGGGTGACACTAACGACCAGGCGAGCAGGCTCGCCCAGTAGGAGCATTCGTGTTAGCGTTTCACTGAGGATGCGATTGTGGCCTCAAGCAAAAGTCCTCTAGAATGTCAATGAAGCCACAGTTTTACACCTCTACAAGCGGAAAGGGAACCGTCAAATGTGTGACAACCACAGAGGCATCTCCCTATTACATATCTCGAGGAAGCTCTTCGCTCGCATTTTTCTCAACCATGTCAATAAATATCTGGAAGAGGGTCTGCTGTCGGAAAGACAATGTGGCTTCTGCTTTCATCATGAAAACACCGACATGATTTTCGCGTCCGCCAACTACAGGAGAAGTGTCAGGAGATGCGAGCCTACCTCTACGTTACCTTCGTGAATCTGGCGTACGCCCTTGACGCGGTGAATAATTTCATAATTTTATAATTTTATTTATTTATTGTCAGTTTACAGGCATTATCAAGGGAAGCGTTAAACACAAATCCGATCAGCAGTGAAAAAAATTCCCGAGGTAAAGGAATAAAAATATAGTTTATGGTGGTTTTTATGGTTTGGAAGGTTCAGGAGAAAAAACTGCTGGCGTTCAGGAGAAAAAAACTGCTCTAAGGACTGTGAAGAATCGTGCAGAATTTGGGCCGTCCCTAACGATTTACCCAGATAGTGCGTCAGCTCCATGATAGCATAACGGCGCGAGTCACAGAAAATGGAGCTGTCTCAGAGACATTCGCAGTGACCGGCGGAGGGAAGCAGGGCTGCATCATCGCACCTACACTCTTCAGTTTGATGTTTCCTGCCATGTTGATGAACGTCTACCGTGACGAACGCCGCAGGATTCGCGTCGCTTGCATGACGGATGGCCAAATATTCAACCAACAGCGACTGCCTTCTTACCGCCGCCTCCGAGGGGACATGCAAAGTAGCACTGACCTCCTCGCAGCCGTTTCCGACAAAAACGGCCTGGTCATCAACACGGAGAAAACGGTGGTTATGCGTCAACCGTCACCCAACGCTGCCCAAATCGCCCCCAAAATCAACATGAACGGCGCCCAAACACATGCCGTGGATAGCTTCGCATATTTGGACAGCACCATCACGCGCACCATCAAAATCGACCGAATCTCCAAGGTCAACGAAGTCTTCGGTCGCCTACAAAACACCATCTAGAATCGACACAGCACCAAACTGAAGATGTAAAAAACAGTCATCCTGCCGACGTTGATGTATGAAGCAGAGACCTGGACGGTGTACAAAAGCAGGCAGAATCAACTGTCTCCCACTGAAGCTAAGATGGCAGACTCGGATCCCGGAGACGAACGTACTGGAGCGGACGGGAATCCTCGGCAGTTACGACATGCTAAGACAAGCGTACCTGCGCTGGAGCGGCCACTTCGTGCGGATGGACGACGAGCGACTAACTTAACGACTCTTCAGTAAAGATGCCGCCATGGATTTCTGATGACAAGGAGGTCAAGTCTGGCGCACCAAGGATACACCGAAGACTTCCCTTTAACGCCTGCAAATCAATCCGGCCAATTGTAAAGACCTCGACCGGGACCGACCTACCTGACAGGGAGCAGAGAAGACATATCCGGCAATCTACGAAGCCAACCGTATCAGCCCCGCCAAAGCCGAACGCGAAGCTCGCAAATATTGACCGCCGCCTCTCGACGCCACCTCTCACCCACTGTCAACCTGCCCACGATGTCACAGAACTTTCGCGGCACCAATCAGTCTCATTGGATATCATAGAACCGACCAAAGCACCCCGATCACAGTATCCGATGTCACCTTCCACCACTGTGCCACCCTCAACCAACACCAGGACTCGACACTTACCGCAATCCTGAGCCCACACTTTCATTCTCATCTATCATCTCATCATCCGCTGTGACGGGTGCTGCTTCTTGTTATGACCCGCCTCGTACTTGAAATCCCGTGGAGCGTATACGCACTCGACCCTTGTCCCCAGTACCAACGCGGCAGAGAAGGAGAACGCGACCGGCCACGAAAATGTGTATTAGGAAATTGCGAGTCAAAATTAACTGGAACTATCGCATATTTATAACGCCCTACTGTGCTTCGCCGGCATTCGGCCCAATGCCCTTCGGGAAGAGCATTCTAGACGAGCCGGTCGATAATTCGAATATGCAGATCGATCAGGCGCGAGAGGAAAAGCCAATGGAGAGGCGCCACGATGAAGATGACAGCGCAGCAGAGAAAATGCACGTGGCCTCCCGTGATTGGCTGGCTCTTGTTTTTGGGAGTGTGGGCACTTCCAATACCCCTGCTACCATTGCACTGAATCCTCACACACCGAAAAACGTTAACATCACCACGGCTAAAAGTAGCGACGTGGATTCGGTTCATTCCCGTCGTCAATGCTATCGTACCTTCGGCTCAAATATCAGCCTGGTCGTTCATTTGCGAACCCATCGCATGAACACTGGCGAATCAGTGTAGGTATGTATGTAGTGGAAGGATTAGAGGCAGAGCCCTTGATTACCCTGTTTATGCTTAATGATTTCGCATATTCGCACTCAAAATAAGCTTGCTAATATCTAGAATACGGTCGGTTCACAACACATTAATAATCAGTCAGTCAGTCAGTGCATTTGAGGGAACTAGGCTCACGCCTTTGAACTCCCTATTTGTGCATAAAAAATCGATAAATAGGCAAAAATGTGAAAAATTTACAGCATTAAGTGAATGCAGACATTGATTCACATATGTCACTGGTCTCATGACTAAAAAGTTATATGGTACGCTTGTTACTGCAGCACATATCTGTCAGGCCGACACTTAAATGTCTCCACAGATTGAGACATGACAGTCTTCTCGGGCGGGTTATTCCATGGTTCCCCGACAAGGTTGGAGAAGAAACATTTGCTCACATTTAATCTACCCTAGGGCACACGTAGCTTGAAGGGATGTCCCCGGAGGTTAGTTGTAGTGACGAGTTGGAAATAGTCAGCGCACCGAAGGGCGCAGTCTAAGCCACGCACTATACGGAAGGTTTTTATCAGGTCTCCGTGCAGCTGCCTATAACTCAGAGGATAGAGATTAAGGCTAGTTAAGCGGATCTCGTATGGCAGTGCACTTTGACCTCTTATTAGTTTTGTTGCTCGTCTCTGCACCCTTTCGAGCATATTGTAATCCTGATGCGTCCACAGTCTCCAGGCCTGAATTGCATATGCAAGATGCGGCCTTACAACCATCCCGAGGACTTTGGAGAAGCAGTCTTTATCGAATACTGCGATTGCCCGCTTAATGTCTTATAGCATTGAAGTTTCGGCCTTGGCAGCCTTACAGCATTGTGTAGAAGGCTGTCGGCTGTCTGCAACCCAAACTCTGAGATCCTTTTGCGTTTCTGCTTTTTGAAGTGGCATTCCGTTCAAGTGATATTGCCGCGTACAAGGGGTCTGATTTCCGAGGCGCAGTATGGCATATTGGTTCAAATTGAAGGACAACAGCCATCTGCGGAACAACTCGTCCAATCGACAAAGATTTTCTTGGAAGTTGGTCTCATCGGCAGCATTCTGGATAACTTTTCAGATTTTTATGTCATCCGCAAACATGGCACTATCACAGTCCAACCCACCTACACAATCATTGATGAACAGGAGAAAGAGGGTTGGTCCGAGCTTCGAGCCTTGTGGGACTCCACTCTCTATGAATGTGGTGTACCCCAGGGCTCCGTCTTAGGGCCGTTGTTATTCCTGGTTTACATTAACGACTGCGTCGACGACCTGGGATGCAGCGCCATCATGTTTGCTGACGATGTTAAGCTGTGGAGACCCATCAGATCTGATGCAGACAGGTACGCGCTTCAAGACAGTCTCAACCGCCTAAGCAGTTGGTCAGCTCGCTGGCTCCTCAATTTTAATGTGGACAAATGTGTAGTCCTGAGACTCCGCGCCAGACAGACCAGTAAGGAGGACGATTCCTTTCAATATGTCCTTGGTGGTCAGTCCCTTTCAAATGTTGTGGAACAGAAAGACCTGGGAGTCCTAATGACCTCCTCGTTGAAACCATCTTCACAGTGTCAAAGGGCAGCCAAAAGTGCGATAAGGGTGTTATTTGCGCTGAGGCGAGGATTTGTGCAGATCGACAAGGAGCTGTTCGGAAAAACCTATGGGGCATTCGTCCGGTCTCATTTAGAGTATGCAGTCCAGGCCTGGCGACCGTGGTTAAAGAAAGATTATCAACGACTGGAAAGAGTACAGGCGATGGCTACGAAGATGGTCAAGAATCTTCATCATTTGCCTTACGAAACCAGGCTGACTGAACTAAATCTGTTTCCTCTAAATTACAGGCAACTGCGCGGCGATCTCATTCAAACCTACAGGATTGTCAGTAGCCGAGAGTGTGCCCTAGATTTTGATGAATTCTTTGAATTGGCCCGGACTGACCGTCTGCGTGGTCATCCGTTCAAACTGCAAAGGAAGCGGGCTCATTCGGACGTCCGACGGAACGCCTTCTCACACAGGGTCATCGGGGCATGGAATGGACTCCTTGATGCCGTCGTTCTTTCCGAAAGTGTTAAATCCTTTAAGTGCAGACTAGACGCTCACTTGTTGAGAACCTACTGTACATATAATAATGATTGTTTTAGCGGCGGCAGTTTGCGCCTAGCTCACACTTACCGCTAATTTTTTAACTTTTCGCATTTGCTGATGTAATTGATGACTTTATTTCTGTTTATCGATATGAATAGGGAGCTCAAGGGCGAAAGCCTCATTCCCTTAATAAACTGACTTAAACTGACTTTGATTGTGGTTTTTCTATTCAGACCATTTGGGAGTGGCCGACGAGGAAATTCTCGATCCATTTGAGAAGTTTGCCACGGATGCCCATTATTCTCAATTTGTGCAGGAGACGCTGGTGCAGAACGCTGTCGAAAGCCTTCCGGAAATCAATATAGGCCAGATGCACAGTGTATTTTGCGTCCAGAGCTCTTAACTAACTTTACATTGTATATAGCAAGTTCGTTACACATGATCTACCCCTACGGAAACCATATTTTGCATTGGACAAGAGGTTGTTGGTTTGCAAATATGCCATCAATTCCTTTTTACGGTTTTCTCCATCACTTTGCAGCAGATTGATGTCTGACCGACAAGTCTGTAGTTCGTCGATAGAGCAAGACTACCGCTTTTGTAAAGGGATGTAATGTTGGCAGTCTTCCAGTCTGTGGGAAGGATTCCAGCATCAAACGTTTTCTGACGCAGAAAGGATAGTGGTTTGGCCAGCTGTGGGGCAAGCTCAAAGAGCAGCTTTGCTGAGATCTCGCCCGAACCGGGGAATTTACATTCCTTCAAGCTTTCTAGTTCTTTCAAAATCGCTTCTTCTGAATTTCAATATTTCCGATAGTGGGATCTCCCATGTTCTCAGAACTAGATGGAAGAAAGTGTGTTTCTCTTGTGAAAACGGATTGGAAAAATTGAGAAAAATGCTCAGCTTTATCTGTACTGTCCGATATCTCCAAACCGTTATCATTCCTTATGACAGGAAAGGGATTCCTGTTAAGGGTGCTCTTCCACAGATAGCTATAGAGAAATTTTGCATTATAAACGGCTTGGTGGAGCAAATTACTCTCTAAATCCCGTCGCCTCTTGAAAATCAGGATTTTAACATAATTTCTTTGAACTTTATATTCTGTAAACGCCGCAGTGTTGTTGTTTTCGCGAAATTTCTTTCGCAACGTTCCTTTTTTCTTGATCTAATTTTTGAGTCCACGTGTTAGCCACTGAGGGCGGTTGGATGTCCTAGGCTCTGATAATGGATAACGGCTCTTCATTAGATGCAGCAAACGATTCTTGAATAAATTCCAGTCCTCGTTAACGTTTCCGGAGAAGAGAACATCCCATTCTATTTGTGATGCCTCAGTTCTCATTTGGCAAAAGTCCCCTTTACATATATTTGACCTCGTATCGTCTTTTGCATACGGTTCAGAATACAGCTTGTACTCCCATAAAAGTACTGCATGATCAATTCTACCGAGCGCACCTGTTCACTTCGAATCCGTGTGGAAAGATTGTGGGTGACAAATTATTATACAGAGCTGGCTGTGATTAGTCATGTATTAAAAGCTGGTTTCTGTCGAAAATTAGGCGAGCGAGCTTTTTTAAACTTGTGAGTTGTGGCGGCCGTCACCATCTCACTCGGTAGCGAGGTTCATGGCCGGAAAATCCGCTGACTGAATGAAAATGTCTTATGGTGCAGCAGTGCGCGTTCACTCTTGCAAGGACATGCACCGACTTACAAGGGGCAATAAAGGATATATTTGCTGTAGAGAAACATACAATTTGTTGGCAAGCCCGCAATTTTCGTAATGTAGGCATGTATTTGAATTGTTAGAGACAGAGTAATTGATGACCCTTTATAGGCGGAGTGATTTCGCAGCTCTCACTTAAAATAAAGACGTAAACACTTAAAATGTGATCGGCTCCCAATGCATTAATAATAAGGAAGCGCATCTGTCCACTGCGGGTCAGTACGAAGAGACTGTGTACGACAAAGTGTTTTACAAAGCTGGCTGTGAATAGGCATGCAGCAAAAGTCGGTCTTGGTCGAAAATTAATCATGCGACTTTTTTTAAACATACAAATTGTGTCGGCCGTCACCGTCTCAATCGGTAACGAGTCCCTTGGTTGGACAACACGGTGGCCAAAAGAAAACCTTCTACAGTCTATCCGCATGCATTCCTCCTTGACTTTTTGGAGATGACCGCGTAATTGATTTGTACGGTCAAACTCAAAGAAGTCCCCCAGTCTCAGTAGGCAAGCGTTGCCCCGGACAATCCGGAATTTCCAGAATAGACTGCAGTTTATTTGCCTATAGGATAAAGGGAATAAGCTAAGCACATTCCGCCTCCCTTGGTACGCCAAGTGCTTTAGACCGTCAACCGTCTTCGTTCTTCTGCGTTGCAGCTATTCAAGTAAGTAAATATTCCTCCTCATCCTTGGTGAAGATACTGGTATCCCATATTCCAGGTGGGGTCTTGCAAAGACGTCATAATGTCTTCCAAGGGGTTCGGGAGGGAATATTTTAAGTGTGCATCTGTAAAGTACTTATCTCCTCTTAGCCCATCTTTCTACAGTGTTCTGATGGCAACAGATTTGTAGCCGTCCATAAACTCAGATTTCTCTGTCTCTTTACAGTTTTTAACGCCGTCCCGTTAGTAAGGTACTGATGTCTGGGAGAGACATTTTGGCCGACGTTCAGGAGCAAGACCATGCATTTAGACACGTTGAACTTCAAAAGCCGTCTGTTTGATTAAACACTCAGCTGACCGGTGTTCGATTGCAACTTCTTTTTGTTAACAAAGCATTTCACTCCACTCCGTACTTTTGTACCACTCGCGAACATGGAAGGTGGAGCTGTTACTCCACTTCATCAAAGGCCAACTTATCTGGAAAGTGTCCTAAAATTTTTTTTGGAGAAGAACACGATAACCCCTCGTGCAATACATTTCAGTAGGGTAATTATTTCAAACGCCCCAATGCCGTAGCAAGTACGTCACATGAATAACCATGCCCTCTACCCCCTACATCGGATAAAAATCAGTCTATCGTCGATGTGTCACCAGCTGTTGGGATCACCACAGTGGCACTACATCGTTCTAGCACGATTGGGACAGCAATGAACTTTTCCACAAATCGCAAGCAGAATATTATAATAAAGGGTGCCCCAGATCCATGTCTTGTATTCCGAAGGAACGGGTGATGTACGACGTAGACCTTCTTAATCAATACGCCAGAGCCGTCTGGAAAGATGGGAGAATCTTTACCGTAAAATGTTTTCCTGCCAGGCAGAGCGGATCCAGGTCGTGACCTAAAAACATCCCCAAGACCGCTAAAATTTATTTTAGAATAAGGAGCCCAGGCAGCGCTTCTTTTAGAAGGTAGAACTGCCTTACGGAATTCTCACAAGGGAGTGTTTTTTAAGTCAGAATACGGACAAAGGGAAAGGCTGAAAATGGGAGAACTGAGAATAGAATTGAAGGAAAGAACTTGCGAAGGGGAAGAAAGGGCTGAATATCAAAAAATGGACAAATAAGCCAGACCAAGGATCCTTTACTGTCGTCAAAACCTGTCACAATGAAGGCTGGGCTTCTCCGACGAAACAATGATTGAAGGTTATTTCCACAAATGTGCAAAACCTCTTCAACAAACTAGACGAACTAAGAGACTGAAGTGACGCTACAGACATTGGTTCGCCAGTCTCTGTGCGATGTATTCTCAAGTGACCGACCAGGTCAATATGTACGGCGAATATGCGAGAACAGTGTATACATGATAGGGTGACAGGTTCTAGCCGGTTTCGGTGGTGGAGCTGCTGGTGGTGAGCGCGGTTGGCAGTGTTGCGAGGGTTAAGCTACGCAGCAAAACGATGAGCGCCGATCGGTAGGCGTCGATCGGTAATCGCCCCTCTACCATTGTATGTGTGAATGCATGTATTTATGTAAAAGATCTGCAAGCGTATGCTATGCCAGTATCTGCAAACCATGGCATTCGCAGCCTGGTATGCGTTGACAGTTTCCTGGCACATGATTATCTGTCAGTATATACGCTTACGCTCCCCTTGTGTACACAGGTGGTGGGCAGGACTGCGCAGTCACCCTAATCGGTCTGGCCCCTTTTGGAATGTTGCTTTTGCCGACGAAGAACCTTTACATTTGCTGTATGGACCAGGCGATGTGGTGGCAGGCCTAGGTTTGGCTCTGGCCATGCCAGTCACCTGCGCCTTCCGCCCATCTCCCCTCTTCTTGTCTCTGTCCTGATTACCGGGTCCAGGTGGAAAATAAGGGAGGGGAGAATTCAGTGGATGTTAACAATAATAATAATTTTATTTAATGCCAGTTTACAGGCATTGTCAGGGAAGCTTTAAACACAAAACAGCACTTCTGAAAAAGTAATTGAACAAGCTTTTAAACTTATTGGGGCAATAAGTTCGGAAACTGAGGAAAGAATTAAGCGCAAGTATAATTTCGTACTGCGAAACATTCCGAGCCACTTATCTGCTATGGAGGGAGCGCATGTGTTCCTACAAAGTTGTGGCTTGAGTTTCAATGTCGCACAAGCTAAGCGACTTCGCTCGCTTAGCCGTAATGCGCCGATACTAGTTACTATTTTCTCCATGATAGAAGTCGATTTTATCTTGTCGAGTAGGAAGATAACTAGAGACTTCTGCTGTAAATGGCGCTGCTCCGTTTCGCCAGACCTCACACCCCTGCAGCGAAGACTGAATAAACTAAAATCGGCAAAAACCAACACCAAGATAATGACACCTACTGTGAGTCTGAATAAGTCCTCTACAACACCATCTGCGGCATATGCACATCACGGCATAGTCAATTCCGTAGGGAATTCGACTACTTTTAATGCTGAGCTCTTTAAACACACCATCACGCCTGGTATAAACACGCCACTATCGACTCCCCCAGCAACCCCTAGTAAGCCTAAGCATGTGTCTAAGTCAAAGGCAAATCAAATTGCTGTCTCAGCCACTCGGACACCCAATAAATCCAGCACCATTATAAAATCTTTTCCTCCACAATCGGCTAACAGTGCCTCAAATACCCCGACTCAAAACGTGGCGGATTCGCAACTGCCCCCAGCCCTCATATCGAGGCATGTTGGCCGAATATGCCGATTTTTCCGCCGTTTAATAAAACTGTTGCACCAATGAAAACAATGCGTCCCCTACACCCTAACTTGTTTCCTCCACGGCTGTTTAACCAATTTATTCCTCAAGAAAATGTCCATACTGAATCAGTTAATTCATCCTATCCTCGGTTTCGTTCCTGCGGGAATACGTTGCAGTATCTGGCCCGCGGATTTCCAGCTGAAAATAAGTTAGCTAACAATGTTTACAAGCTTCCCTGCCCGTCATTTTCTCCCTCAAGTCCGCCCTTTCTTATCCACGTCAGAATCTTTTGATGCAGCAAAATTAGTTGCAGAACCGGATGGGTACAACGGATCATTTGCTCCGTGGGCAGCCCAGAACTGGACGATGTAGCCCAATTCCTTCAGAAACAAACAGTCTTTCCCTTCAAACTTTTTGTTTGAAATGCCAGATCCTTGCTTAATAAGATGCCTTTGCTTCAGACTCTGGTGTTCGTCCCTTGTCCAGATATTGTTTTAGTAACTGAGACGTGGGCATCAGCCTCCGTAGCTGACTCCGAACTCTCGCTTCTAGGCTATAATTGCATCCGAAATGATCACCAAAATAGCCGTGGTGGGGGCTGCTGCGTCTACGTTAAGCGAAAACTTACATTTCTGCCGCTGGAGTCCCGAATTTTTCCGCAACAGAAGGCAGCTGTTGGCTCCAGGTTTCACTAAAAAGAGGTTCTCCTTACTCATTGGCTGTGTTTCTCGCCCTCTCAACGCCAGTGAAAATATTGATCGTTTACTCCCACAGGCATTTCATGCTGCGGCCGACTCAAGCTTTAAGTATTACTTGGTTGCGGGTGACCTTAGTCTCCCTGAAGTCTACTGGTCTTCGTCTTCCGACCTAGAAGTTTCGAAGACTTTCTCGAGGCTGTGGATGTTTAGATGTGGCCTCAGGTTGTCGATTTTCGCACCCGAGGATCCAGCATACTTGACCTAATTTTCTGTAGAGACTGCATGCCTTCGTCAGTGTCATCCCTAGGCCCACTCGGGGGCACAGACCATGACAAAGGTGTTCAGATTTAGAACTCCAGGCTGATAAAACTTTGTCCCCAAAGTATAGCTGCTTCCGCGATTTCCGATCAACTCGCTCAACCGAATAATTAAAGCATCTTAATTCCTACGACTGGACTGATTTCTTCCTTAGTTCGGATGTAAATGTTTGCACTGAAAAACTGTACGAAATTTTGGATCCGCTTATTTCTCGTTTTGTCCCCCGTAAGAAAATTATTAATGTTGGGGATGAGGTTTTCCTACCCTTACCCTTTCGTCGCAGGTTGCACAGACTTTCTCGTCAAGTTCATCTCCAGAACATTGTTTTTGTGCGGGCTAAGAGATTGTCTGAAGAAAAACTGCTAGCCGAAGGGGTCCTATTTACTGAAGACCGTTCGTTAAATGTCTTTAAGCTTTTGTCACGAAAAGTACGAACTCACTGAAAGACGCAGCATCCCATCCTCCGAGACGCTCTCGGAAATCCGATAGTTGATGCCCAGTTAACCGCTGATAGCTTCAATGATTTCCTGTCCAAAACGTTCATTGAACACTCGACCATTCCTCTTCCGATCATCCAGCCATTGACCGGGGCAGCTCTCGAAACTATAACTTTCCCTCTGTGGGATGTGACTGTTGCGATTCGGCGTTTTCGGAAATCTCATAGCCCAGGACCTGATAGTGTCCCAGTAAGCATTTTAAAAGCCAATGCAAATACGATTTTCCCCCTTCCTCTTATGCAAGATATTTTGTCTCGCTTTTAAAAGGGAAATTTATCCTACCTTGTGTAAGGAATCACGCACTTTGCCTGTTCCCAAGCATGGCTAATCTACGTCATTTGATGACTTTCGGCCTATAAACACCCTCCCCGCAGTTTCGAAGATCTTAGAGACATTGGTCATAGATAAGATGATGTGTCACTTAGCAGAGAATAACATACGGAATGTTGCTCAGCATGGATTCCTCAAAGCTCGCTCTTGTGACACCTGTCATTTCTCTTTCTTTGACTATGTTCTCCAATCTAGGGACAATGGTTTTGCACTTTACACTGTATATTTCGATTTCACTAAGGCTTTTGATTGCGTTGACCATGCCCTTCTTCTCTTAAAACTTTCCTCTTTCAGAATGAGTGAGAAACTTTTAAATTGTATATCCTCTTACCTGGACGCTCGTACACAACGAGTCAAGATTTACAATGCTATCTCCACCCTCACATGTGTGTGGAGTGGAGTCATTCAGGGTAGTGTAATCGGCCCGCTTTTATTTTGCCCTTTTTGTTAACGATGTACCCGAGTTATTTCAGAATGGTAAGCCCTTCATGTATGCCGGCAGACCGTGACATCGTGCTTGAGCTCCTTAAGAGCGACCTACAGGCTTTCGCCCAGTGGTGCCACACATGGAGCCTTTCTCTTTCTTGGCATAAGTGCTCAGCCATAGTGGTTGGCGACGACCGCCATCCTCAACTAAGCATTGGTGGTCACGCCATAAATGCGCCTGGGGTTATTAAGCATCTGGGTGTATCAGACTCCAGGAGCCTCAATCTTTCGGAGCACTATGCCTTGATAGTTTCCAAAACACGTAGAACGATCGAGTTTATCCTCCGAAACTTTAAAACTAGGGACATTGAAATGCGCCTATACAACATGCGCGTAAGACCTGGTCTGGAATACTGTTCGTTTTTATTTAGCCTTATGCGTGGTACTGAGCTTAAGAAAATAGAACTCGTTCAACACTTTTTTACCAAGAGAGCCTTAACCCTGGAACACCGACATTTGTCTTACCAGGAACGTTGCCGGCTTACAGGCTTTGATCCTTTATGGTTTCGAAGATTACAAAAGGGGCTAATTTTGCTATTTAAGCTTTTATATAATCGCACCTTTAACCCACTCACTACTTTAAGGCATCATGTCCACCCCGACGTAATAATCACAGTGAGGTCTTTTATTTCTTCCTTTTGCACCTACTGTTAAATATCGTCGGTTTGTTTCTGCAAATGCAATTGCTATTTGCAATAAACTACCCAGGAATGTGAAAACTCTGCAAAATTATCCTTTATTTAAGAGAATTATTTCTCGATTTTAGCATTCAGAAAAGCTCCCACAAATTGTGGGTTCTGAATCCCCCGCAAGGACCTATTGGGACACATGCACATTCATGCAAACCTGCAGTAGACAACCGCCGACTACACCACTCCGTCACACCTCCGCCTTGCCAGCACCTGAACCACAAATCGAAATTATCTATCGCAAGCACTCAGTTGCCGACCCTCACGCAAGTGGGAAGTATGCTTCTCGGATTCGTCTTCATGCGGCTCCTCTGCTGAATGTGTGATCCGAGTCAAAGACTACCAGGCTGCGTCAAGAACATTGGCCTGGAAGGCTGCCGACTGACACCCCAACTAAGTCCACACAGGCTGCCCAGTTGTGTGTGTGTTTGTGTGAAGAGACGTACCGGTGGCCTGAGAGCCAGGCCAAAATGCTCCTCCATATTGTGACGCACGGCACTCTTGCTCACGTGAGATGAATGTCGCCTAACCCTCGTTGTGTGAAGCTAATGTGCTTGCGTTTGGAAGGTCAGGTCGTGCATGTGACGCGCGCATACAAAATCACTGAATATGTCAGCCACCACTTTTATTCCCCACACCTGTCAACTGACCAGCTCGGACAGTGGTTGGGGCCCGAAAATGAGAAGGGAGAGTGAGACCAACGAATCGACGCATATTCCTCATTATAAGCAATCTGGCGCGCTTAAAGCTATCACGACGAGGTAAAAGTCATGGCCTGGAAATTGCCAACTGATGGGATAACTTGAACCTCGTAGTTGGCCCATTGTTGTGTGTTTGGGCGAAGAAGCCGACTAGTGGTCTGAGGGCCAGACTGCAATGGCTCCTTCTTAGTGTGGCTTTTATGTCACTCCCACTCCGTGTGATCCGAGCCGGTGTGGCGGCATACCTAGTAGTGGTTCCGGCCGCGCCAGCCATCTGCGACCTCTCACAACTCCGGCCTCCAGGGCGGAGGAGATAGTGTTAGAGATGCTGAGCAAGTCTACACTCACTGCACACTAACTCACGCACAAATCATCGTGCCTGCTTCACCCTGTCGTGGAGCACACGGTGGACATCTTCGACAACGACATTTAGACTGTCGCGTGTGTGTGTCCCAAACGGTTCACAGGTAAGACGCGGTGGACTAACCTGAGGATCATATTGGACTCTGACAGGTGTTGTCGGAATGCGCACCATAACAAATGCCAACATTCCGGAACGCGGTGGCGAGCACACTTGCCGGCAGTGGTTTTGCAGATTGGTGCAGCTGCCGCCCCACTCATTGTTGTTATTGGTTAAAATCCAGGTCATTTACCGTGTGGACCATAGGGTGTGGAGTTGGGCACCAAGGTGCTGGTTCGGCTGTGCCATCCATCGACGCCTGCCCCGTCTCCGTTCTTCTTGACTCTGCCTTGACACATAGAACAAGTGAGGGAGGATGGAGTGCGGTAGATGCTGTCAACGTCTACTGTCAGTGAGCGGACCAACACAGAGCTGTTCGAAAAATTAATAATATTTTTGAAAACCAAAATCTGGAGTGACATACTTTCGAAATCAAATTGATCTCGAAAAATTCGAAAAAAATTTCGAATTCCTTGCCAAACGAGTGACGGGTATAAGCCAAAGCAGATTTCGCTGAATAAACGGTACTATTGATAGAATGAGGTAATAAAAATACGTACAAACCTCGACAATGGATGCCCTAGACAGAGAATTCCTTTGTTACTGTTTAACAAAATCAAATTCCCAGCTCAAGGTCAGAATATAAAACTGGTTAATTAAAAGAACGCCGATCACGCTCGAATTGCACGGATTGGACCTAGAACGTCTGCTGCCCCACAATGGCCATCCAATTCATGAAAGTAATGTATGATTAATTCCGTCACGGAATGATCGTATGGGGGGATTGACGGGTGTTTTAACGATTCACCAAAATTTGAGTAATTAAGGCGACCACCAAAGCACATTACTCCTTCAATCAAAACCGGACATAAATTTCTCAGGCAAATATTTCTAACGCAATTCCTTTTCTGGGAATCTGCTGGTGTAGACTGCAGAATATCAAATTCTTCTGAAAAGTGCTTCCTTTGTATAAGCTTTATCAAGCTAATGCTAGCTTGGCGCATTTCGGATACTCGGATTGGACCCAACACCAGCGTCTCTAGAGGTGCCTTGCCTGTGCTCATTCTGACGTACTGCTAGAAACGCAGGAGCCAGACCACAGCCCTTTGTAGCCTTGTCCAACTTGAAAAACGCAAAAAAATTCGTCCAAACCATCACATTGATTTAATACATGAACTTGGGCTGTTGCACTCTTGAATTCCAAGCTTTCAGGTTGTCCTACTGGAGGTTGTACAAGCCATTCGCTTTCAGGTTGAACTAACAATTTCGGACCGTCCAACCATCTACGTACCAGCGCAAAGTTGCACGTACCTCGAGAAGCAATGTCTACTGGGTTGGCGTCCGAACTCACGTATCTCCTCTGAGAGGTCTCAGACAGATCATGAATAACTGTCCGTCCGTTAGTCACAAATATGCAGAACCTGGTTGATTCATTGTGTATATAATAAAGTACTATCATAGAATCGGTACATAAAGTAATTTTTTGGAAGTACCTATCGGTGCTTGAGCGGATGAGATCAGCCACGCGCACAGCCAGAGTAGCAGCTGCCTACTTTAAACGTGGCATAGAGACGGTTTTGAGGGATGCAACACGTGCTTTCGAATAAACGAGTGAACAATGTAGATTTCCTGTGTCGTTTATAAAGCAAGCATATGCTACTGCACTATATGCTACTTCCGAGGCATCGCAAATTACGTGCAGTTCGACTCGCATCGGATCGCTGATATCTTTGGGCTTTAGACATCGGGCTAGCTGAAAAGTCTTCAGGCTCCGTAAATTAGTGATCCATTTTTCCCAGCGAGAGCTCTGGATGCCAGATAGTTGTTCATCCAAATTTAGTCCGTTTTTGCATACGGATTGCCAAGGCGAAACAAAGCCCAGAAGATCATAAAGTGAGGACAAACAAGACAAAATACCCCTACAAGTGGACGGTTTTGCGGGCATATTGAAACTTATTATCAGAATATCGCAATACGTATCCCACTACAACTCCAATGTTCGTTCAGTAGGTAGGGGGTTGACGGCAATATTTCGCATACCAGAAGAACGTTCAGTCGCACTAACGACCGAGAGTATACGCCGGTCACTAGAAGCCAAGTTCCGCATACGAAAGCCGCCTTGAGAGAGAAGTTCACAAATTTCGTCCACAAAACGTTTGACGGAATCGACATCACATAACGATAATAGACAATCATCAACGTAAATACTCTGGTGAATCGCTCTGCAAGTTAATGAAAAGTAAGATGAGCCGAAATCTTCGACAGTTTTTTGTAACGCAAAGGTGACACAAAAGGGCGAAGAAGTCAATCTGAATAGGTGGGATGTCCACTGAAACTCAATTGGCTCTCCTTCAAGCTCGTCATTTTCTACCACAAAAATTTCAGAGCAGGTCGATTAGTCGAGTCCACTTTCAGTTGCAGGAAAATTTCCTCTATATCCCCTGCCACTGCAATACGCTCAACTCGGAAACCCTACAACACACTTACTAACTTAGCGTTTACGTCAGGTCCTTGGTATAAAATGTCATTCAGAGACACGCCCTGACACTTGGCAGCACAGTCAAATACAACACGAATTTTTTCTGATTTTCGGGGGTTGACATCGGGGTGGTGTGGTACGTACCAGTGTCTCGTAACTGAAAACGCTTTGTTGCCGTCAACTCGCTCAATGTATCCCCTCTCCGTGTACGGACGGAAGGTTTGCTCATATTTCCGAAGTAATTCGGGATCTCGACCCAACTTACTCTTGAGATAGATTAGTCGTTTACGCGCCAACTGGAAACTGTCCTGTTAATTCAGCGTACTGAATTCGTATTCCGGAGGCAAACAAAACATGCCCTGTGTTTTTGCAGACAATTCCACCGATCTGCAAAACCCATAGATATTAAACGTGGACAATTTGACACTTCATGGGCATTAGAACATATGAAACATGGCCGTTGATCTGGTTCGACACTCGAAATGGCAACTTGTTAGGGTTCTCCTGTTTTTGATGTTGGGCTGTGGCAGTAAAGGGCTGTGGAGAGCGCCTGCCATCCCCATCTCGAGATATTTGTCCGAAACGACTTCTTGCTCTCCTAGCTCGAGTATTTACGAATTCCGTGAGGTCTGCAAAATCCGGATCTCTAACATTCATAGATATTTTGTCAGTAAGTTCAGCCCATTGAATCTGCATAAAAACGGTAAACAGCGCACTATTCGCTCTAGGACATTCAGCGATTGTAGGTCAGACACATAGTTCATTGGCGTGAGCGCTATTTCACAACTTCTCATTTTTATGCACAAATCTAAAAGTGCCATTGCAGTCTGGTTAATTTTGCGTGCTTGTCTGAAGACACCGTCCAGAAGAGCATTAGCCACTACATGTGGTTGGCCAAAGAAGCTGTTCAGTAATGCTCATGCTCTTAAATAAGCCGAAGGCGAAGGAAGCATGACGCATTCTACTATGGCCGCTCTCGCATCACCTCTGCAATAGTGAATCAAGTACAGCAGCCTCTGTCAAGCATCTTCAACTTTGCTCTCCACCTACACTTCAAACTGTCGTATAAACATCCAATAATGAACTGGATTTCCGTCAAAGCTGGACAACTCAAACTTGGACAGTTCTAAACTGGCAGCTGGCAGGCTTCTAGCACTTGCTTTGGGCATATCAACATTCTCACTTTGGCAATGATTACTCTCTTCAGGAGAAATTTCATCCAATAAGCATTGTTTTAAATACACCGAGACATGCGCACGGAATCTACGGGTTGACGGTCGTCATCGGATATCTCTTCATCGGTCTCTACCTCTATTCTTGCAAGCTCTGTCCTTCTCTCGGCATCAAAAATAGCCCGTTGGAGTTCGACCTCACGTTCAACTCGCCTCTCTTCTATTTCGGCTATTTTTAAGGCTTTAACTGTTTTACTGGAACTACGACTACTAATAGAAACACGCTTACAAGAGCCGGACCGGACGTTTTACTTTGGTTCTCCTTGTCCTTCGAAGGCACCTGGTTTGTCCATTCTGAGAGACTGTTCCGTACCGTCCGATTCATTCTTCATGGAACGCGTCTGCATTTGATGAAAATAATTTCTTCCAGTTTATGGTATGATGTTGAGTACTGTAGAATTGCTTGCTAAACGAGTGACGCGTATAAGCCAAAACAGATTTCGGTGTTTATACGGTACTACTGATAGAATGAGGTGATAATAAAAAACGTACAAACCCCAACAATGGATACCCTAAACGAAGAATTCCTTTGTTACTGTTCGAGCAAATCGAATCCCCAGCTCAAGGTCAGAATACAGAACTGGTTATTTAAAAGAACGCCGACCACGCTCGAAAGAGGGCAACAAAAGGGGGGAAGGAGAATGTCGACAGGGGCCAAATGTGGAAGCACTTGCGAGGAGGGCGTGGAGAATTCCAGGCGTCGACCAGCTTGGATAAACAGTGATTCTGGACAGTGTCATCCAGAAACAAATCTAAATGTGGGTGACAAAGTTCTAAGCCAGTTTTATTTCAAGAATAAGTACCAACGGTTACATAAATATTGGCATATGGATAGCCAGGAAGTAACGGTGGAAAGGGAAATTTAAACGATTTCTTGGAATTGCTGGATACCATTCTAGTAGTATACGCACTCACTATAAGGCCAGACACGCGTTTTTCGCCGATATTCTGCCGCTGTATGACACAGCTGCTAAGGATTCGACTCTTCAGCGGGTCCCCAGCATTTCAGTATAATTCAGTATATATGAGGGATAGAGGCAGAGCCTTGGAAAACCCTATTTACAGATAGACGTATGAAAAAAACATGCAGATATTTACATAGCAGTTATACCAGTAATTGATATCATGTAAATGTTTGACCATCAAGCATAAGTTTGTCTAGTCTTCTTTTGAAGGTCTCGACGTTTTCCGCTAAGACAACGGAGTTCGGCAATTTGTTCCATCCCTCAACCAGCCGGTGAGAGAAGAATTTGGCCCGCAAATCGAGTCTGGCATGTTTCATCTTCAATTTGTATGCGTGCTCTCGGAGATTTGTCGTCCGCGCCAGTTCGAAGAAGTCGTCAAACTGAAGAGCACAGTCTAGCCCTCGGACGATCCTGAAGGCCATGATCATGTCCCCTCTGTACTGTCTATAAGAGAGAGGAAATATTTTTAGCTTCTCCAGCCGTCTCTCATAAGGTAAGGTACTTAATCCGCCGACTAGCCTGGTCGCTCTACGTTGTACGTTCTCCAGTAGGGTGTAATCTTTTTTCGTCCAGGGACACCATGCCTGGACACAATATTCCAACATTGGTCGAACGTATGCGCCAAATACACGGCCGAAAAGTTCTTCATCAAAATTGACGAAAGATCTTCTAATCGCGCCTAAACTACCCATAGCTTTCTTTGATACCTTAGCGCAATGAGATGATGGTTTGAGAGTTGACGTCATCCACACACCGAGGTCTTTTAACTCGTTGACTGATTCGAGTTGGTGACCTCCTATAAAGTATTGAGATTCAAATCTCAACAGCCTCCTGTTGCTCGAACGTAATCGGATAAGTTGGCATTTGTTACGATTGAGGATAAGACACCACTCATCACACCATTTTTGCAAGCGATTTAAATTGTCTTGTAATTGTACAGAATCTTCCGGCTTCTCTATTGATTGCCACAATTTGAGATCGTCGGCAAACATAACTCGCTCGCAGTTCAGACAGTCCAGGCAGTCGTTCACATATATAAGGAACAGAATTGGACCCAGAACGCTTCCCTGCGGAACGCCACTGTGCACGGATGCCCATTCCGATTTAGCGTTCCCGATACACACACGCTGAGATCTGCCCGTAAGAAAATCGGCTAGCCATTTCAGAAGATTTCCGTTCACACCCACTTGACGTAGTTTACATATAAGTCGTCTGAGTGGAACACTGTCAAAAGCCTTTTTGAAGTCGATGTACACGGCGTCGACTGATAAGCCCATGTCAATTGATTTCGTCCAGCTTTCCATGGATACTAGGAGGTTGGTGAGACAAGATCGACCGCTTCGGAATCCATGCTGATGTAGACTGAGCAAGTTGTTTTCTTCGAGGTGCCGCATCAGCTCCGTTTTTATTACTCTTTCCATCAACTTGCAACAGATGCTAGTGAGACTCACTGGTCTGAAACTATTTGGGGCTGTTCTCTCGCCACCTTTATAAATGGGGCTTATGTTTGCTTTCTTCCAGTCGGTAGGCAAAGCCCCGGTCTCCATCGATGTTTTGAAGATCTTGGATAACGGAGAGGCCAGTTGGTCTGAGAGCTCATTCAGAACTTTCGCGAACACGCCGTCCGGACCAGGGGATTTAGTGGGCTGTAGTTGCCTCAAAGTTTTCCTTACCGTGTCTGTTGTGAAGTCCACCGTGCTAATTGTACTGTTGGATTTGACATTTGGGGGGTAAACTCTTTCATCAAACGCCGGCTCCTCGGTGTACACAGACGTGAAGAAGTCGGATAACAGATTCGCCTTATCTGAGTTGTCAGACAACGTATTTCCCTGGCGATCTTTTAGGCAGGGAATGCAGTCCCGGTTGCGTTTTGCTTTATTCACGTATCCAAAGAATTTTTTTGAATTTTGCGGGATATTTTTTAAAAGTGTTGACTCAAATTGTGCCCGTTGTCTCCCGCTTTCATGGTACGGTTTTCCGACGTCGGAATATTATGAGAGCCTGAACAGTCATAAGCTTGTTGGAAGCTAGCATAGATAGGGGAGTCTATGAAGAAGGTTTAGGTTAATAGGGACAGGCATACAGCTGAACAATTAAGTGACCAGAAGCGTGTAGTGGGGTGTGAATTAAAGATATTGGAGATATTAGGCGGACAAATATTGACAGGATGAATTTTAGATACATGTAGGGTACCAGAATTATTTAAGAAAAGAATTATTAGAGTCTAACTGGGCCCGTTAGGCCTGTAGGCGAGTCTGGCTCCCAAGACTTTATAAATCGAAAACGATGTCATAGGACTGTTAATATGCTGTATGTCATTCCAGAAAAAGATGTACTCTAATACATTATCAACTTGTAATTTTTCTCCACACAGAATGCATTCTACATTGTAATGGTGATCAATGCTGCAAACGCCCGAATAACTCTGCATTCACAGTCAACTTCGAAGAATGCGGCAAGAAATTAAATGTTGTCCTTACAACTCAAATGAATTTCTTTCAAGCAGACTAAAGATTTTGCGGTGGTGGTTTCGAATCCTCCAGGCTCCCACTCCGTTCATTTAAAGGTTTTTAAAACATCAGACTTGATTTCACATGGAAGATCAGTACAACAAGGCGAACGCCGTTCTAAGCTCTCAGTGATACTGGCCATTTCAAACTTGTACCACAGATCCCGCATCCAAATCGTCGTTCAAGTCTCCAAATCCGAGTCCTTTTTGCGGAATTGCCATATTCCCTTTGCAACAGTTTCACTACAGAAAATGGTCTAATAACCTCCCTTACTCTATCGTGTTGTTCACGCCCTATCGGTTTTGATTTTCCCCTGCGATTACATAGAAGAATTTTAGTCCTTAATATCAGCCACCCCTTCAAAGATTCCGGGTTGCGAATGCGTGGCAAACCAACTGCTATCTTCTTATAAATGTCGTACGAATTAATTATGAAAGTTCTTCTGTTGGATATTCTAACAATTTACGAGACCAAAGTTGTTTTCGCAGCTTTTCTAAAATGTGTTATAATTTGCTCAGCCATACCAACTGATACTAACCTTGACGCCCCGCAAGGTTAACAGTCCCCACTTGGGCACGCATCCAAAAACGGACGGGTTAAACGAATCTGTCTGGTTTCAGTGTTATATCGGAAGAAAACGCAGTATAATCCAAATTCATCAACAATATTAAAAGAAAGAGTTTGAAAAGTGGTACTTTCCTACTTAGTTGTTTAACGACCTGTGATTTTTTTGCAAATTTATTCCTCTAAGCCGGCCACTTTGGCTCGCTATTTTAGCGCCTGGGCTTTCCCAGGCTGGTGCCGTTCATAAATATTGATACTTCGCTTTGGATAATCTTAACGAATTCGCTCGGACGTGCTTATTAAAAATTCTAACTGACTTAACATTTAAAAAATAACGTAAAATATATGAAAACAAATGGCTTAGGCAAGTTGGCTACTTATCCTGGCATCCCGCATTTGTAGACATCATGTTGGGCGGGATACCACCAGCATATTCTCTGCAGATGCACATGTTATTACAGCTTTCCTCGTCAAGATACAAAGCCTGGATAGTGTCAGACTACACATAAACGAGCCACATATACAATTTATGAAGCTTAACTTAAATGATCAATTTTTTTAATAGGGGCGACAGCAAAGGGCCTAAAATTGCCTTAAGTAGCCGAGTTTGTATTTGCCCACGGTTTCACTAGACGTACTACTAGCTAGGATATACCTAACCATGATTAGGTAGGATAGTCAATCAGTATGGCCTTTCTGTTTCTTTAACTCCAAAAGTTTCGATACAGCTTATTTTGCACGTGTTCGTGTGGACCCCTGTTTTGGAAATGCATATGCATGCATTGCCTTTCGATGTAAAGAAGCTAATTCTTACTCCACGTCAAACGAAAACTGTGCTCTCATAATTTCATTCGTCTTGCCCTTGGCCATTTAAATAGTTAAATACTAGAGTTAACGTTTTAGTTTTCTGCGTTATTGGCAATACCAAAAACAAACAGAATAGTTTAAATATGATTTCGGATCCCATAAACATTTAAAAGTTTTCCGAATACCTATACAATTTTAATGTCCGACACGACATTGGATTGATGTACGCACAGCGGTATGCGCGCTTTTTTAAAAAACCTTACTCAGTTAGATCGAGCATCCTCGCACGCGTATACCTCATTTTCTAATGTAGATAATAAGTCCGCACCGTTTTTATACGGAGGTTAAGTCATTTATTTAGGCTACCTTATAAGAAACATGGTCCTTTGATTGACAATATATTTAAACTTAACTTGAGTTGTCACAAGGCTTTTACCAAAATTATGCCTTATTTTTGACAACGAAGGACTGTGTAGAATGACTTATTAAACGGACTTTAGGGATTTATAGATATTTTGAATTCTATTTGGATTTTCTGTTTTCGTTTCGATGTCCCAAATTGTATGATTTTGCTTTTTTCAACTATGCTGCATATTTTGATCAAACACGCATAGAAGTATCGCCTTATGTTCATAAAGTCAATGGGCATTTTGTTATATACTTTGAAGTTGTATTTGTAAACCAGTAAATCTAAAAAAACACGAATGACCTCATTTTTTTCTAAAAAATTACAATACTTCCATGTGTTTCGAAATTAGGCTGCCCCTTCCTCATGTATATTAGCCAAAATGACGCACATTATGCGCAACATTGGTATAAGACACACACTTTGTTTTCCCAGTGCAGATAGGATTTATTATTTTAAAAACGTCAACAGTAAGTGCAAAAGTAAACACCTGTCGCGCATCGGTCTTATTTGCAGAATTTATGCTGTTGACAAAAAAGGGTTCCAGAAAGAGATTCAGTCAACTACCGTGGATGAAGTAATTTATGATAAGGTCTTAACTTCTGTGATAATACAAGGAATAAGTACCGACGCCTGTGACTGACAAAACCTACTGCTAGCTACTACAAAACATTCGTAAAACAATAAAATTAATGGTGTTTCACATATAAAAACAGAATATTCTTGCTACTCACGTTGTTAAAGTAAGTAAGTTTAATGCAGTAAAATACTTTTAAGAGGTTATCTTTAAATGAAAGTCTATTCCTTATGCATACGTTTATTTTATAACCCTACATTAGGGTCTTTCTCTTGAACTGTTTTGATTGCCTAAAAGTTTTCATCTTATGGACTCTTTGGTAGAATGACATTAGTTCCTTTAATGTGGCTACGCACCAAGCACATAGGATGTTCTTGCGGACGCTGAAGCACCTGGCTCAAGCAACACAATTTACTTAGGTCCACTCCATGCTTGTAAGGCTCAGCAATGCAGTATACCCCAAAATACACGCAGTTCTATATTTGGAAAACCGCACAGTTCAGCCCTAATCTCACTGGGTTTCGCTTGATGGAGTGATTTCGGAAAACACTTTAAGATTCATGACAATGTAATGGATAAATCTTGTGAAATCTTTCAGAAAAAGAATACGTCCGAACTTTGCGGAACTGATGCAGCGTTACGGAAAACGCATCCTTAGTTTGGCCGAGACCTTTAACTTCCCCGTAAGTTATATTATGTATGCCGATACTTATAGGATAACAGGATGCCTGTCAAGTCGACATACCGATTTTTTCCGCATCACCTCCTGCTATTTATGCGGCCGACTTCAAACCACAGGCCACATACATCTTTGATATTGAGTTTCGCAACCAGGATAAAGTAAGCCTATCATTTATGACTATAGTGCTCCATTTAGATACCGCGATCCCTTAGAGTTGCAGAAAATGATTCCGCCTATTTTAAAATAATTGGTCAAGCACTTAGTTGCTCGAAAATCGCCACCGGCCTCTCCGTTCATGTTCGCGTCCAATTCAACCCCGAAGAACTCAGGGACTACACACATGAGTTAGTCTGCACAACGGACCGTGAGGTCTTCTCGATTCCAATCTATTGCATTGGTAGACGCTCTTATCTTGAGGGTCCAAAGAGCGTCACTTTTGTTAACTGTCCAGTAAAGCAGACCTTGGAAAAAGCAATCAGCTTGCGAAATACTGGAGAAAGTGCCTTTGAATTTGTCGCACACACTTCTGGGTAACTTTTGGAGCAAGTTTATTCAACCACTTCTTTTAGCTCTTTGTCTGCTTATCCGCAGAAGGGAGTAATCGAAGCCGGAAGCATATTTCAACTACTTTTACAATTCAAACCCAAAATAATTGGAGTTCAATGCGAAAGTATATTCTTCGAAGTTGAAAGAGGTATATTGGCTCGAAGGTTTTCTTGATAATGATTTATTATTTTGTTTTTATTAGGTGATGGGCTCTGCATGCAGGCTAGTACCGAAGCGTTTGAAGTTCCTGTCACTCTGTCTGATTCTGAACCAACCAAAATGCAGACGCTCATTGGTACCAAGTGTTCGAGGAGTGTGTTCATCGAAAATCGAAGTGAATACTCTCTGAAATTTAAATGGATCTTCGGACAGCCTCATAAACCTGACAAATCTACTCGATCCCCAGATCTTTCAGCCGGAAATTATGAGTGTATGAATACGGAAGTGCGCACTCATGATGGTGACGAAATTAACGCAGTGAGTTCCCCCCTGTTACTTAGTTTGTTTTATAAACTGAAATCCAAAAGTTAAGCCGTCATCCGCCGAACAACCTCAGTTGCTTGCAATATACATACTGAGGTCAAGTCGTTTTTCTATATTAGTTAGGTCCATTTTTCATATTTTTCTTAAAACTTGGATACTATTCCGTTGTTCTTGATCTACCAGTAGAATAGGACGTTTTAGAATTTCAAATACAATTCATTCGGGCTGTCTCAGTAAATCAAAGTGCTTGCAGAATTGAGCGCAGAAAATTTGCAAACGCTACTAAGCACCCCGTCTTAGTAAGCTCGAAAAAATTGTTAAACAGGTCATCCAAAAAGTTGCGTCGTTCCGCAACAAAGTCCCACATTCAGGTGGACCGCGAAATTGGACGAAACCAGATGCATGAGAGGTGTCGGTTACGCTCCCAGTACGTCATTTGGCAGCGAGGCGCTCCCTTTCCTATACCAAACAGGCAATACAACTAAACTCCCCAGAAGTTAATTCAGTCTATCCTGGACAAATTATGGAGTTGGGTGCCATTGTCTTACCTCCGCAGTCTTCGTCACTATGTAAAAACGCTGCACTATGGGGGGAAGTGGAGTGGGAAAAACGCTCCTTCGGCAGCAACGGAGACTGTTCTAAACAGACATGACGAGAATAGTGCCCACTTCAAGGAACTAAGGAAGAAGACCGTGACTGTGTCAAAGTGGATGTAAATCGCTCTTAGCAATTTCGGAGCCTTCGCTTGTCCATATCTAGTGTACATATAGTTGCCCCACAAAGCATAGCGAGAGAGGCCTAACCAAATCCTAGAAGGAGCTCAGTTAACTAACGCGAAGTCAGTGTATATAATAAAGTCCTTCAAATAGACAGATTGCTTGCGTTTTCAAGCTCTTTCCCCTTCTACCAGGGACAGAGGAGGCTGAAGGGGTTTGACTGTGGTATTCATCATAGGCAATTTTTCCAGCGTTCCTCAGGACCGGACCTCCCTCGATACGGTCGAAGACTAGGGAACGTGACACCTAGGGGCCTAGGCGGCCGACGCATCTAGTAAACGCCGTGACAATCACAACTTTAAGAAGTATAGAAGGCTTCACGGTGACCTAGATCAGACCTGATTCTCCATGGATTCTCAGACAGTGCTATTTTAGTGTTCTGGACACGTTACTTATTTTATTTTAGTAGCATTGACAATTTACTACTTGAATTGCATGCACGACACGTCTGCTTCCCCACCCATTAATTTAAAAAAAACTGTTCTTCTGGTGAAAAATCGGGAATTTTGAGAGACACTGTAGAGAGCAACAGGCTGAGATTCAAAATATAGTTATTTGTGCGTAGTTGCTGAGACATAAGAGTATCTGCCTAGATACCTGCGATATTGGAAATACAGCCCTAAATGTACGTATTTAGTGATTTGATAAAGCCCACTCTTCGAAGTCAGTGGTGTTTACGCCTTATTTTAAAAAGTTGTGATTTACTCTCAAGGGTATGCAAGTCTCGGATTGGCTTTGTTCGACACCTCCACAACAACCCCAGTGTCAAAGCGAATAAGCCAACATCTAAATCACAAACCATCAATGTCTCGATAAAAAAAATCTACGTCTGCCCGACTTCGACCGCGCATTCTGCTTACGGTTCGTCCTTTACAGGCTTGTTGTTAGTCTTCGCCACAGAGACACAATCAGAGCACTGGAAATAATAACTGATATAGTATTACTTTTCCCGATGTGACCTTATATTACTTTCGCGTACTGTCCTGACGGGAAACCGTCAGTTCCATCGCAGTACAGATGTAGGACCAATGTCTGGAACCCCAGTTAACACCCATCGCATAACCTGTCAGTTCTGACCCTGAAAAGCTAGCTACCATAGGGTTCCTTTAGTTCAAATGTGCACACACAAGACGGATACCGAAACTCTCCCAGTCACTTATGCATTAATCCTATTACAAAGTTTGCCGAAATCGTAATTACGGGCATTTCATCGTGTGCGTATGCGTGTGGCAGCAGATGTTGACATTGATCATCCGCCTTCTCGTTATAAAACAATGTAGAACAGAAAGGTCTCAGACTCGATTTCAGTTGTAGAAGTTTCCACAATACGGTGAACCTAGATTTATGACTAGACTGACCTCGTCGTTTCAGGAGATGGGGAGACAAGTAAAATTCCGTTACATTTTCAAGACGCCACTGATGTCCATCCCTAAAGTTAAGGGTGGAATGGTTAGGTCTGTGTCAGTCCGTAAAAAGCGTCCATTCTTAGTATCGCTTGGAAAGTCCTTGTCAGTCTTCTTTTCTATCACACACATTTACACCCTAAACAAGGAGTTTTCTCGTGCCCCAATTTGCACCACGGAGCAGACATGGTCCTCTTTGCCAGGCAACTATGGAAGAACTGCCAGAAAATGAGGATCGGTCCCTGCGCAATCTTCGCGAATCTCACCAAGGTCTTCGGCACAATGGATCGAGTAAGCTATTTTAAAGTAATTAGGGAATCCGGCAGTGTCCAACGTTTTGCTCTGGTGATCAGACAGCTTCGTGACACTGCGATAGGATGCGACACGGAAGTGGATCGGCATCAAAGGTCTTCGCGATGTCACATGAAGTGAAGCAGGACTGCGCTATCACCTTAACTGCCTTCAGTCTTATTTTCTCAAGAGTGCTAACGGAGGCCCATCCGGACACAAAGGAAACTATCCGACATCCGTCTTATGCAGCTTGGCACACACCCCCAGAACCCAGAATGCATGGCCTACTCCTCCTCACTGACGACTTTGCATTTAATATTCCAGCAGAAACGGATTTTCGGTAAATTATGCACCTTTTCGCCTCAGCATGCGCCAACCTCCCCACTATTCAGAAAGCAAAAAAATAATTGCCACAACAAGAATTTTATTCAACCGACGCTTCCGACCCTCTCGGAGCCATCTTCAGGAACGTAGACGAGCAGGCAGGAAGTGTGCGGGATGGTGCAGCATCTAGAGCACGTAAATGTTATGCAACTATACATCCAATAAAGTCGGCAGTTTTGACTGTCATCGCAGACGTCCGCAGTTGATGCGATAACGGCCTAGTCGCTCGTATCTTCGTCGGTAATTGCTACAATTTCCTCGCCGGCTTTGGTAAGAGTTGCTGGCTAATTTGGTTCACCCATACTGGCACGGGAAGCAGGGGTTTCCTACGCCTTCGGAGCGTTAATAATTCATCTGGCCGAGCAAATCCTTGGCATAAAACAAAGAGTTCGGGCACCATTCTGCTTGTCGATGGATTCAAACAGTTCGCAACTAATGCGGCTGTCATTTACCTCGAAGATTTCGGCTTTATCGAACTTAGCATGATGGTGTCCTGTCGAATGAGCCACTAGACATTTGGTGTCATTCCTCTTTACCGCTGATGCATATTTAGCCATTCGAGTCAGGGGTCATTAGTTTGCTTCTTCAGCTAAGTTGCTTTGTTTTATATGGTGCGGTTTAAATACCTCCTATACCTATCGCACTCCCAAGTCCCCCGTTACCTTACTCAGTTACTGTCTCTTAAGACAGGTTCGAAAAAGTTTCTGAGACATCGGAGAATGGGATTATTGTTGCCCTGATCAAGTCTTATCCCTGTTTACTACCTTCTGGATCTCGTCTTCCGGCTTGCATCTACAGTAGAGAAAATAGTTGTCATAGACAACCGGCGCCCACTGTCGAACACATTGAACCATCGCTTAGCACAGGCAGACCACTCCTCTTACTTTCGAGACACCACCTCCAGACCGTCAGCATCCACGGCAAATTGCAACCGGAATCTCCGAAGCCACTTATGCTGTCCGCTGATCCCGAGTCATCAAGACGTCTCCTCCTGCGTGAAGCTCAGGGCGTACAGGGCAGCTATTCTGTCAACATCCCATCACTCCGTTGAGAAGTGGACGCTATTGGCATATTGAACACTCACGTCACGTTTAAGTAGATACAAGCGCGATAGATGCCTGACGAATGCTTGTTTAAGCAATTATTTTATGGTGAGGCTGTTACGATCACTCACAATCAGAGTAAATAATAAAGAGGTTGAAAGGACACATTGAGGGTTTCCCTAGAGCGTCTTCAAATTAACTTAAAGACAAAGGAATCGCACATACAGGAGCTGCACGTATTCTGTACGGTCGTAAAAATGAAGCAGCAATCTTCGAACCTACGAGAATAGATAAAGTCAGGGTTAAAATGATGTGCTCGCCAAATAGAATGCTACTGACCAGAGCCACAAATGCCGCCATCAGGACGTCTGCACTGTCAACATCAGTTCAGGGTTCAGGCTAGTTTTAATGAACTCCCTAGGGTTCACTGTAGTGTCAACGCGACTAACTCACCGTCTACACAATAAAACATACCGAAACTACCCCATCTGCCCTCCCTGTTGCAGCATATTCTAGTTCTGGTTCACCATGATCGAACATATTTGTAAACACGTCAGTATAAACATCTTTATGACAGAGAGGAGTCATTAGCAGCATACCAAGGATACCTATTTTCCCCCGGTTCCATCGCATATTTCACCCATGCGTTCGTCGCAGCATAACTGGAAAATAATGGTCAGGATTCCCAACCAACACCCGTCACACCGGCCTTCACCAACCTGCCCCTGCGCGCACAATCACTTACTGCATTAGTAGAATCTGTCCTATAAGGTGTATATAACAATCACGAAAATATCACTCATATTCGTGCTCAAACTCTTCCCACTCATTCAGTCATCGCATGCTCCCTTCCAATTGTGTGTTCACAAAGAAAACCCACGCATCACGCATGAGTAAATTCCACCCCTAAAATCGTCAACATCGGCAATGACTAGCGGACTTTTGTAAGCCTGACTGTGTTCCGTAGACGCTAGACTGAGGCCCACGCGAGGTCAGTTGTTGTTGAAAAGTCTCGTACAGGCCATTGGAGCGCGAAGTGGGGAAGAGATATTGAAGTCAACACTGAGATGCCCTTTCTCGTGGTAGTTCAGCGCACCTTTCCCTCAACTAGACCTGTGTGCATAAATCTACCCCAAAACGTTGGAAGTCTGCCGACTGCCTGGGACACCTGCGTCTCTTTTAGCGATAGAGAGGGAGGGAAGAGAGAGTGAGTCAGACTGCAGTGACTTCTTCTTAATGTGGTCTATATGACACATTTTACTTACAAAGGAAGGCGAAATTTGGAGTTCCAGGTGTATGAAGAAGTGAAGAAGAAGAAGAGGCGAGCACCTGAACACTGTGTTTATTGTTCTGAGCTTTCAGACTCGTAAAAGAGTCCATCGTCAGAGGGAGCAGCAGCAGCAGCAGCAGCAGCAGAACAAGCTACAGCTATAAGGCATGCAGGCCAATCATCGACCGACGGCGCAAGACAGGAGGTGACTACGCAGGGCTCTGTACGCCGGCGCCAGATCGATAAATCGATTGACCGAGTTCTCATCCGAGGCCCAGGCTTCAATCAATTCTCGGCCTGTTTTTTCTCCGGCGTGGGCGACTATTTTGGTGGCTGCGAAGTCAAACTCGTGACCCATTTCATAGGTGTGAGCGGCCACTTGTGATAATGCGTCGCCTCGTCGCACAGCCAGCTTATGTTCGTGTATGCGCGATCCGAGCATGTTCCAGTCTGTTCTGTGTAGTTACAAGGACACTCAACTCTCACCTGTGGCTCCACGTAGCTGGGCTCTGCTCAGCGGCCACACCCCGGGCAACCGTCTCGACCGGCGGGCTAAACCAGGTGAGGGCGGTTACTCCCTGTGCGCGTTGTGCCGCGTGCACAGGTGACTGCGGACTCCGTGGACGGTTGGTCGGATGGAACACCGCGTCGGCGCCGTCGTGACGAGGCTCTGTCTGACACACCGCTGGTCAGCCGGTTGGTGGTGAAACGTCGCATCGACATCGTCTAGACGAGGCTCCGCCTGGTACGCCGTTGATCAGCCGGTGGGATGGATCTCCGAATTGGCACCGTCGACACGCGCCCATCTGGTGCACCGTAGGAGACCGCAGGCTTGCGGCAATGCCGTAAGCCATTGGCAAATTCGAGTCGTTCTTCCACTGCCAAAAAAACTCGTGGCCCACAGTGGAGTTCGGCCGCGCCGGCATATCAAGCAGCCCTTATTCAGGGGTCAGGGCACTGCTTCCTTCGGGGGGGCCTGGAAAAGCTGGCCTAAAAATTGCTGGGGAACCACGTCGTCTGCTGGCGCACCGTGGTCGCAGACGCAAAACTCACGGTCGAAACAATCAAACTCGAAACAACAACAACAACCATATTCATTCTCCTCATCCTACCTCTTCTACCTCTACCTCCGTCTATTCTTCTGCCTATTCTTCTCCTTCGTCATCTTCTTCTCCACCTCCTTCCCATCGCCCCACTCGTTTTCCCCAGACTGACAGGGTGAGCCCGCTCACTCTGGCAGCCTGGAATGTTCGTTCCCTTTTAGACAATCCGAAGAGCAACCGACCGGAACGGAGGACGGCGCTAGTGGCACGAGAACTGGCGCGCTACAAGGTGGACATCGCCGTACTCAGCGAGACCCGATTCTCCGAACAAGGCCAACTGGAGGAGGTGGGTGCCGGTTATACCTTCTTCTGGAGTGGCCGACCCAGGGCAGAGCGACGAGACGCGGGCGTCGCCTTCGCCATCCGGACCGACATCGTGGGACGACTGCCCTGTTTGCCGCAGGGCATCAACGATCGCCTGATGAGCCTCCGCCTGCCTCTCTGGGGAGGCAAATTCGCCACCATCATCAGCGCTTACGCTCCGACGACGACCAACCCCGACGCCGTCAGAGACAAATTCTACGAGGACCTGCACGCCCTCTTGGCGACTGTGTCGAAGGCGGACAAGTTGATTGTCCTTGGTGACTTCAACGCCCGCGTCGACACAGACCATACTGCCTGGAGAGGAGTGCTGGGTCCCCACGGTCTCCGCGGCTCCAACGACAACGGCCTGCTTCTCCTCCGCACCTGCGCAGAACACCGTCTCACCCTGACGAATACCTTCTTCTGTCTGCCGGTGCGAGAGAAGGC